GGCCCCGCGCCGCGCGGACGATGCTGCCCCCTCGTGGCCCCCGCGTGACAACGCAGCACGGCACGGGATGCTCGTCCCGCATCCCGGCTGGAGGTGCCACCAGGGTGACACGGCAAAACCACCCCCTGCTACCTCACATGGTCCCACACCTGTGGGTCTACATGAGGACGCCTGGAGGAGCCACCTCTGCCTGACCGAGCCATGCCCAGGACATTAGAGGGATGCCAGGCAAGGATGTCCCCACCCTGAGTGATGCTGTCTGGACCCACAGCTGTCCCCAGTCCCAGGAGGGTAAAATCATAGAATCACAGAATCATTTTGGTTGGAAAACACCTTTGAGATCGTAAAATCCAACGGTTAACTCAGCACTGCCAAGGCCACCACTAAACTGTCCCTCAGCACCACATGCACACGACTCAGAGAGCCCTGCAGGGATGGGGACTCCACCCCTGCCCGGGCAGCCCGCAGCAATCCACTGGAAATACAAAATAGCTGCAGCAGTGCTGGGGCTCAGTCCTGCAAGGTGATGAGCACCCTGAGCTATGGATGGGTTTCAGAGAGCAACTGCCCCCCGGCCCCCCGTGCTGTCTGCACCCTCATGGGGGGCTCAGGCAGTTTTGCTGCCTTTGCATCATCTGGGCTGTGGTGCCAGCAGGACACATGTCCCTGTGCTGCCAGGTACTGGCTCTGCACTAACGTGGGAAAAGAGGATCCAACCACGGAGCCTCAGGCCCCAAACACCACCTGCCTCCCATCCCCGCAGCGCTGGCAGCCAAGGACGGGCCCCCCCACGCAGCCCCAGCCACAGCCCCAGCCGTGTTCCCAGCTCAGCCAGGCAGCCCTGCAGCCCTGCCAGCCCCGTGTGTGTCCCCAGCACACGTGCACAACGCCAGCCAGCTGCAGGGAGCAGCTCTGCTGCACACCAGGCTCTGGGGCAGGTGACAGGCTCACGGGCTGCAATACAGCAGCAAGCAGCACCTAAGGATGCTCCCCAGCTTAAGCTGTGTGCTCCTCTTGCTCACACTTGGGAATGAACAGGAAGGAGCACAAAACCAGACTGGGGCAGCTGTGGGCACACAGAGCCTCTGGCCATGGGGCA